TTGAATTTTGTGTACCAGACTTCTAGTGTGTGTGTGTGTGTGTGTGTGTGTGTGTGTGTGTGTATGTAATATATATATATATATATATTTAAAGACATACATGTACAAAGACATAGTGAACACACTACTGGAGTGTATGCCAAGGTCAGGGAGAAGAATGAGAATAAAGATCAAGGATCAAAAGCAAATAAAACAAGAGACCTAGTATCAACTAATGATGAAAGTTTAGCTATTAAAGAATAAAAAATAATAAAAGGAGAAAATTACCCTGGCCGGGTAGCTCAGTTGGTTGCCAAGGTTCAATCCTTGGTCAAGGTACATATAAAAATTAACCAATGAATGCATAGATAAGTGGAACAAACTGATGTTTCTTTTTTTCCTCCAAATATTGTGTGCGTGTGTGTGTGTGTGTGTGTGTGCGTGTGTGTGTGTGTGTGTGTCTGTCTCCCTCTCCTTCAGAGAGGGAGACAGATTGAAGCATTAATGATGAAAATTATTGATCGGCTGCCTCCTGCACACACCCTCTACAGGGGACTGAACCTGAAAGCCAGGCATGTGCCCTTGACCGGGATCAAACCCAGGACCCTTCAGTCCCTACGTTGATGCTCTATCTATTGAGCCAAACCAGCCTGGGCCAAACTGGTGTTTCTCTCTCTCCCTTTTCCTAAAATCAATTTTTTTTAAAGGAGAAAAATCTACCCTAGTTTGTTGGTAATTATCTTCTGCCTTGAGGAGTACAGAATGTTTCTGGAGAGAAGGCAATGTTAAAGACAAAGTTGTCCAGCAGAATTTCAGGACTGAAAAGTTCTCTAAACTGAGAATTTCCCTCAGATCTGATCTTCACTCTCACCTCTTCCTGGCAATGTGATTGAGGAGGTGCTTGCTGTTCTCCAGACATGGAGCCTAGACCTGTCCCCCTTGGCACCGGCCTAAGGGAGGCTGGACAAAGCATAGAGGCTCATTCTGGCCCTGAGTGCACCCTCCAACTCTGCCTGTGGTTGATATTCACGTCCTGATTCCCAGAACCTGTATCTTAGCTTACATGGCAAAGGGGACTTTAAAGATATGGTTAAAGGTCTTGAGGTGGGGAGATGTCTCAGTGGACCCAATAGAATTATAAAGACATGTAATCAGAATGTAATTCTCATAAGAGCAAACAGGAGAATTACGAGAAGGACGGAAGCAGAGGTCAGGGGAGTGAAGATGCTATGCTGCTGGCTTGATGATGGAGGAAGGGGCTGTGAACCAAGGAATGCAAACAGCCTCTAGAACCCGGAGAAGGCAAAGAAGTATGGATTCTCCCCTAGAGACTCCAGAAAGTATGCAAGCTTGTCAACATTTTGACTTTTGATTCAGCCCAATGAAACTGATGTCAGAGCTGTGGCCTCCGGAACTGTAAGCTAACGCATTTGTGTTATTTTAAGCAATTACGTTTATGGTAATTCATTACAGCAGCAACAGGAAACTAATATGCTGGCCTTGCGGCTGGGCAGCACTAACCTGTTCTCCTAGGAAAGTAAGGTTTGTGCGGGTGGCAAGTGGAGACTCAGATTTCCTAGAAGCCCCTGCAATCAAACTGAACCTATATTACTACCTGAGCAAATGTCTAAGCAACAACACATTGTTAAATAATGCATTGTTTATAGGGTTGCTAAGAATTAAATAATGTTTTAAATTACCTATTATTACCTAATTACCCACTTAAAGAAGTCACATCTCCTTGTGAGTTTATACATTCATTCTCCATTCTCCACTGAACACCCAGTGCCTGTCTGGCACCATGCACAGTGAGCTGTGTCTACAAGCCCCAAGCATTTTCACCGAAGGTGCCACTGAGCTTCCAGTCAGTACAGTGCTCAGCCTCACTGCCCCCATCCTAAATGCAGGCCCTTACACTTGTCCACTCACCTGGTCTCCTGTCTTCATGAGGTACCCACCCCAGTCAGCACCACCCCTTATCCTCCCAGGCACTATTTCTGCAGTTGCCAAGAACAATTGCATCTCTGCCTTTATCATGAGCCCTGACAAAAGCCTCAAGCCCACTTGGAGGCCAGTATGCTCCCTCTGATCATACTTTTAGCCCTCCACTTCCATCTCATTCTCTCTTATCTCTCCCTTTTCCCCTCCTTTCTTTCTCTGAGCTAGTAGTTAGGTCTAAGTTAACAGGAGAGCTAAGTCTCAAGCAGCTAGTCCAAAGGCTGATAGGAGGGACCAAGAATGTGTGCTTGCTGAGTTCCTGAACTTCTCTGGTAGCGAAATAGGGTCTAAGGTATAAAGATAGGATGCCCAGACCTACCTGGAGTGCCCAGGCATCCCAACTGACCAAGCTTCTCCAGCTCAACACCCTCACACACCTGTCCAATTAAGCCCCTGCAATCAAACTGAAGTAGGTTCACATTACCACTCATTTGTTACTTATATTACTACCTGAGCAAATGCCTAAACATCACATTGTTAATAAGGCGTTGTTTATAGAGTTGTTAAGAATTAAATGTTTTAAATTACCTAGTTACCCACTTAAAAAAAAAGTCACATCTCCTTGTGATACCCTGACATAGGGAGCCCCCACTCCATAGCACCCACCTGGATTTCCTAACCTCAAACCTCTCCACCCCAGGCCCCACTTCTAACCTCCGCCGAGTGGAGTTCTGATCCCATGATTTCCGGCCATACTCACCCTCCCTTCCCAGAAAAATGGCCCAGGATTGATTTTCCTTATATCTGTAGACCACATTCAGGTCCAAGGTTCTCTTTCCTCAGAGCCTGTAGCCCTTCTCTGAACATGTAGCTGCCTCTTTACAGTAGGATGAGTACCCAAATATTAAAATGGGAGAAACTGCTTTCAGTCCCTTTAGGCTTGGGTGGTGTTGACGGGGTGAGGTGGAGGAACAGTCCGACCAAGTGATAGAACTGTGGGCAGGCTAGCAGGCAGGTGACGCCTGGGTTCTCCGATCTGGGCATTGCCATGGGTGACACCGGGCAAGTCTCTGAATCTCTAGGCCTGTCTCTCCAGTCTCTGTGCCCTGGGGGGCGGCTGTATTTGAACTTGGAGGCTCCACCCAGCTACTCATGGCAATGATGCATAATGACCACAAGATGGCAGGCAACTGCTTCAGCTCAGAGGTCTGTAGACTAAACAAATAAGCTGGCTTCAAAAAGGAATACAAGGTAATTCCCCAAGGGCACACTACAAAATGGCAACAGAGGAGGCGTTAGAAAAGGGTGTTTGAATTTCCAGCCCCGGGGGGTGGGGAGGTCTGGAGCCCCAAGACCAGGAGGGTGGTAAGGAGAGGGCTGGCGGGCAGCAGAGGAGAGGCTAAGAATATATTTCAGTGATACCAATCACACTGAGGGGATGGGAGGAGGAGCGAGTCCCCCGCTCTCTCCTCAGGTCCTAGGAGTCTAGGGCTTGCTCTGAGGGGGGGAAAGAAAGTGGCCTTTCCCTCGATCTCTCCCTCCTCCAGGGACGTGGGCCCTAGGACTAAAGAGCCTCTGTCTTTCCCGGCCAACACCACACCCCCCATTGTAATTCAAACAAGGAGATTCCTGTGTCCTGGTCTCTGGGCGGGAACTTTTGACCAAATGGTAGAGGGTCGGGGCAAGGTGGGGGAGGGGAAGTCACGGGTTTAGAAAGAAAGACACCTCCTCACTTTGGAGATTCTGGTACTCCTCCAGAGCTCTGAGACCTCAAGCCCGTCCTCCCCTAAGCAACGGGGACTCATCTGCATATAAAAGGCCTGCAGCCTGAAGTGGAAGTGGAAACTGAGAAGGTGTGGAGACACAAAGACTGAGCCTCCTGGCAGACAGATTTGGAGCCAGAATTCAAGAATGGAGACAACCCACGGACAGGGTAAAACGCAAACTGACTGTGGCAGGGCAGGCCAAGGCTTCTGAGAGCAGCAGGTGGAGGCCCTTGCTGGTTTCCCTCCCTAACAGCACAGATATAGGAGTGCTGGCACCAGACAGGGATGTGGTTACAGAGGAATCGAGATCCCCTTAGGATGAAATGAGACTAGCCCTGTTTAAAAAGTATGAACTTTTCTGAGAAGAAGCGTAAACATCTGACAGTGAGAAAATTTCTTGCCAGGAGGGGTGGTATGTTTCCCTTCACAGGAAGTAATGGTTTGGAGAATAAATGGCATGATCTCATTTAGCAGCAGGGGTTCAGATAATGCTGTACTGACCTATTACCACCAAAGGACTGGTACAGTGGAAAGGCTAGTCCATCCTGGCAGGCAATGGCATCACTCACCAAACAGGAAACACTGGTTCCACCAACCCCAAAGGCTCCTAGGAAGGCTAATCCATGGAGGGTTGGCCCTGAGTGACCATGTCCCTCCACAATCATCCATCTTGGCCAAGGTGGGGGGAGCGGGGAGAGACAGCCAAGGCTCTTAAGACATTGAGAGAGGCCATTATTCCCACATCTCTTCATGAGTGGCCTCCTAGGGATCCTAAATCCTTCAAATCCTTACGTAGTTATGGAGGAAACGGAAAGAGAGACCATCACACCCTCAAGAGCAGGGGTGGGGAACCTCTTTTCTGCCAAGGGCCATTTGGATAGTTATAAACATTGTGCCATACAAAATTATCAACTTAAACATTAGCCGGCTATACTTGGTCAAACATTTAGTTAACTCATCCCTAATGCCTTGGCAGGGCCAGACCAAATGATTTCACAGGCCTTATGCAGTCCATAGGCTGAACATTTCCTACCCCTCCTCTAGAATTAATATATGGGGAATATATACACACACACACACACACACACACACACACACACACACATATGTATAATATATAAAGCTCTAGGGACCCAATAATTGAGGGATAGAGGCATAGCCTCCCCAGGGACGAGAGGGATGGTGAGGGCAGATTTCCATGGTAACGGATTTCAATGCAGCCTCTTCCTAGTCCCAAATTGAAAGAGAATAAATTTCAAGGGGGACCAGGGCCTGGTGAAGGAAGAGCCACAGCGGAACAAAAGGGTGGACATGTTGTTACAGGAAGGTCACGTCATCCTGGCACTGCCCCCAGTACCAGTGGACCTCAAAGCCCAGTTTGGCGTTTTCATCCTCCGGTGGCTCAGGAGGTCCACCTTGGAGCCCCTCCTCTGGGGGCTTCCACGCAGCCCTCAAGCTCCCTAGCTTGGTGGCTGTCAGGTCCAACTCAGTCCTGGCCCTCTCCCCGCCAGGTAGAACCTTTGCCCAGTCCATCTCGGGATGGGGAGCCCTAAGGTTGCCCGGTTCATCCAGCTCAGGGGGTGCCACGGTGTCCAGGAAGCTGCCAATGGAGACACTGTCCAGCTGGTCGGTGGAGCTGATGTCTGGCAGGCTGTCCCAGCTGCCTCTCCTTGAGCGGCCTGGGCTCCCGCCTGTCAGGCTGTATTGGCTGCTGGTGAGGCTGCTGCAGTGGCTGGTCAACGTCCCCCGTTCTTCCAACAGCCAGCGGAGCGCCTCGATGCCCTCATTCAACGTCACCAGCTGCTGTAGGATCTTCACATCAATGGCTCGCAGGTAAGCCTGTGGGGGTAGGAGAAGGAATCAATCCCGGTTCTGGGCCATGCATTTCTCAAATGTTTCCAGAGACCCCTACCTTGTGGTCCAACCAACTATGTTTCACTCTCAAGAAGCAGGGAATCCTGGCAGGTGCGGCTCGGTTGGTTGGACGTTGTCCCGTGCACCAAAAGGTTGCCAGGTTTGATTCTGATCAGGGCACATGCCTAGGGTGGAGGGCTTGATCCCCAGGGGGAGGCTTGCTGGAAGCAGTTGATCAATTGATGTTTCACTCTCACATTGATGTTTCTCTCTCTTCCTCTCCCTTCCTATCTCTCTGAAAATCAGTAAAAAAAAAAAAAAAAGTGTGTGTGTGTGTTTTGTTTTTTAGTTTTGTTTTGTTTTGAAGCATGGAAACAGAAGGGTTTGGAGTGTGGGCTTAGAAGCAGACAGATTACTATTTAAAAATCTCACCTCTACCACATATTATCTACACCACTATAGCCAACTTTCATATCTTCTTTGAGCTCAGTTTCCTTGTTTGTAAAATATCATTAAATTACTCACCTCACAGGGTAGCTGTGGAATTTTGAGATGCTGTTTATTAAGTACTCAGAGTAAGGCCCGCCATAGAGTAAGGTCTCAGTAAATGTTAAATATTAAAATCTGATCCCAAGCTTTGAACTTCATAGAGAAGTATTATTATTATTAAAATAACCGATCCAGGAAGACTCAAAAACAGCCAACGAATCATCAGCTAGGAGGTCAGCTGTTAGTTGGAAAGTAGATGGACCAAAAGAAGACAGGAGCTGGGGGATGAAGAGGGAGCTAACCTGTCCCCCAGTCACTTCAGGGTGCCGGTAGCAATTGTCAAGGGAGAGAAGAAGAGTTGGCTGGAGCTTCGTAGGGTCAGAATCCCTCTGACTAGGGAGTCAGGGCTTTCCTCCACCACACTCGTCTCCTTGCTTGTACTGGGAGTAAGTCTGACTGGCTGGGTAATCTCTAGGATCCCTTTCAACTCAGAGGCACTGAATTACCTTTCCCAAACACAAGTTTGAGCCTGCCCCTCCCTTGCTCAAGAGCCTTTATGGGCTTTGCACTGCTCTCAGAGAATAAAATGTAAACAGTTTAGCAGCTGGCATTCAAAGGCTTTCATAATATGGCTCTTGCCCATCTCTCCAGCTTCCCTTCTAGCATACCTCCCTGGGTTCTGCCACCGACTTAAAAGTTCCTTTTATTTGGTGCTATTTTTAGTCAAAGTAATAGATAAAGATTAAAGAGGCAAAAAGTTCTGCAAGATTTATTATGAAAAGTAACCATTCCCGCTGAAACCAGTTTGACTCAGTGGTAGAGCGTCGGTCTGCGGACTGAAAGGTCCCAGGTTCGATTCCGGTCAAAGGCATGTACATTGGTTGCGGGCACATCCCCAGTGGGGGATGTGCAGGAGGCAACTGGTCGATGTTTCTCTCTCATCGACGTTTCTAGCTCTCTATCTCTCTCCCTTTCTCTCTGTAAAAAATCAATAAATTAAAATTTAAAAAAAGTAACCATTCCCCATCATTGTCCTAAATCCCACACTCCAGAGACAACTATTAATTTTTTTAGCTGTTTATTTTGGTACTTACCTTCTAATTTCCAAATAATATGCTAGTTACTAATTTTTAAGTTTTAGCTATTTTCTACTGACTTCCCACATGATAGAAAGTTAAGGATTTAACTCTTTCAATTTACTCTCCATTTCTCTGCCATATAGGCACTCCTTTCCATCTTCCCATTTTCCCATTATATACAATAAAATTAATTATTCAGTGTTTATCTTATTAAAATTCAATCACAGCTAAGCCATGTGGTTTACTAGAGTTACCTTTCATTTCTTACAACTTTATGTTTTCCTTAGAATAATAATATGTTACCCAGTGGCTGAGTGTCTACCCATGAACTAGGAGGTCATGGTTCAATTCCCTGATAGGACAATTGAATATGTTATTATCAATGTTATAATATATTATATTATTACTAGAGGCCCAGTGCACGACATTTGTGTACTGGAGATGGGGTTCCTCAGCCCAGCCTGCGTCCTCTTGCTATCCAGGACCCCTCGGGGGATGTCCACCTGCTGTGCTCACCAGCCCTGAGCCTGGCTTCTGGCTGAGCAGTGCTCCCCTCCATGGGAGCGCACTGACCACCAGGGGGCAGCTCCTAAGTTTGAGCATCTGCCCCCTGGTGGCCAGTGCACATCATAGCGACTTGTTGTTCCGCCATTCAGTCGATTTGAATATTAGCCTTTTATTATATAGGATTATTACTATTACTGTTTTGCTTAGTTTGCTATATAATTATCAATAAGTCATCACCAAATTATCTCCCAATTATCTGAATTTCTCAAGGCTTTTAAACATATCATATATTATATCTGTTCCATCTTAGAGGCAATAGATATAGTGTATCTATTTCCACTTAGAGCCTTGAAAATTAAGTAGAACTTAGCCAGACAAAGCAGTGTCTCCTCCAATTCAAGTATCCTTGCCAGCCCTAGCCGGTTTGGCTCAGTGGATAGAGCTTCAGCCTACGGACTGAAGGGTCCCAGGTTTAATTCCGGTCAAGGGCACATGCTCAGATTGTGGGCTCGATCCCCAGTGTGGGGCATGCAAGAGGCAGCTAATCAATGATTTTCTCTCATCATTGATGTATCTCTCTCTCTCTCCCTCTGCCTTCCTCTCTGAAATCAATTTTAAAAAAATGTATCAAGCCGAAACCGGTTTGGCTCAATGGATAGAGCGTCAGCTTGGGGACTGAAGGGACCCGGGTTCGATTCCGGTCAAGGGCATATACCTTGGTTGCGGGCATATCCCCAGTAGGGGGTGTGCAAGAGGCAGCTGATCAATGACTCTCTTTCGATGTTTCTAGCTCTCTCTCTCCCTTCCTCTCTGTACAAAAATCAATAAAATATATATTAAAAATTTTTTTTAAAAAAATGTATTAAAACAACCCCAAAGTACTCTAAAATGAAGACTCTTCCAGAAAGCCATCCCTGGGTTCCAAAAGCACTTACTCTGCACTAGAGTTACTACTCTCTCTTCTTCCCGAAGCCACACTGTGAGTTCCCTGAAAGCAGGTCCCGCCCAGCTCATTTATGGTGCTTAGCCCAGTGTTGGGGAGGTCAGATCCAGTTCTGTGACGTCCTTGCCTTTACTATTCTCTGTCCTCCTCTGCTGGTCCCAGGGTTCAGGAGGTTGGGTTTTACCATGTTGGTGGGAAACAAATCTTAGGACCAGATTCCATAGTCCTGTGATAGTGGGGTTCCCTGACTGTGACAGCTTCACTCCATGGAACAGAAGAAAGCAAGGCTTTTTTGCCCGAAAAATAAATACTCATTTCAACCATCTCTTTGGAAACAGAGGGGGATAAACAGCTCAGGAGAGATGCAGCCTCAGAGGCCACTCCAACCCAATTCTCTTCCCACAGGGGTTCAGATTCCCTACTCCTCCCCTTAACACATACACACCAGACCTTCAGCCCAGCCCTGAGGCTACAGTATGGCTCCCTTATCACTCAGGTCAAATCAGGCCCTAAAATTCCAGTCCCAAATCCCTGGTCATGGACTGAGATTCTCAGACTATTATTACCCAGAAGGCTCTTAGAGATCATCTTAGTCTCACAATCACTTGCCTTCACCCACTTTGGGAAGAGGCAGAAAAACTAAGGCCCAGAGAGAGGCCCTGCTCAGGATCTCAAGAAGAGTCAGCAGAGCTAGGGCTTGAACCTATGCCTCCCCATTTCTTGCCTAAAGCTTAAAAAACACATTTTAAAAAAAATTGATTTCAGAGAGGAAGGGAGAGGGAGATAGAAACGTCAATAATGAGAATCATTGATCGGCTGCCTTCTGCATGCCCCAAACTGGGGGTAGAGCCCACAATCCCGGGCATGTGCTCTGACCAGGAATTGAACTATGACCCCCTGGTTCATAAGGTGGGCGCTCTACCCACTGAGCCATACCAGTGGGCTAAAGTTTTTTTTTCAAACTGTTCTGTGGGGTTGTTGTCATAACAACAGTTATTTGGGAGGAAGTATTAAGAGGAGGTTGCCACTGTTTTTCCTTTCCGCATACTCCAGAGTCTGGCTGGGCAGAAGGGAAAAGGCCTAGAGGCAGGGATGACCTTGGCCTCAAGGGCAAGACTGTCCCCTCCCTGCAGGGAAGGCTGTGGAAGGACAGTCCTTAGAGGGCTTGGGCCAGTTCTGTGACAAGTGGCTCCAGGGCGGAACACCCCTGCCCTGATCCTTGTCCTCCCTGGCTGTAACCCAGGGGGCAGGGCAGAGTATAAAAGAGATTCGTGATTTCCTGGCTTGAACAGGGAGAAGGAAATGGAGTAGGGATCCGTGGGGCACAGAGGGAGCCTCTCCCTGTTAGGGATCCCATAAAGCTCCCCCCCTTAACCTTGGGCCCCAGGCCAGGCTGGGTCAAGAGCTGAGACCTGATCAGAAGTTAAACGTACCCCTTAAAGTTCACAAAAGGAATACCCACCAAAGGAGAAAAGAGTTAGAGCCAGAGAGACGGGGCATGGCTCCTCCCTGTGCGATCTCAGGCAAGTCCCTCAGCACCTACAAGCATGCTTCATCTGTGAGAAGAGGAAAATGGCAACTGCTTTGCTCATCGGAATGCCATAAAGTATGTTTAAGGAGTCTAGCACAAAGCAGGTCGCAAGGGTACATGTAAAATGTAGGCAGGTCATCTAGGTTCAAAGCTTGGCTCTGCTTTTTAACTTCATAGGACCTTGGGCAATTACTTAACCTCTTTGTGCCTCAGTTTCTTCATCTATAAAATATCACTTTCCTAATAGGGCTGCCGTGAGGATTAAGAGGCGAACTTGGAAAGTGCTCGGCCTGGAGTCTGGCACATGCCCTTGGGAAAAGTTAGTTCCCCGAGGAGGGCCCTCTAGGTAAGCTCTTTCTAGGCCTGGAGCTAAAGCTTGTTCAGTGAGGCAAAGCCAGGCCCCTCCCCGAGGTGGACACTGCTTTGGAGAATGTGGCTCTCCTCCAGCCTTCAAGGCCAAGTGCACACATGGCATTCAGATCCTCCCCCAGGGAGCCTTCCCTGATTGCTCTGCCCATAAGGCTCTCCAACCAGCCCCTCGGGCTGTCTGGAAGTCCCCATGACCCCCCCACCCGCTCCGCCTGGCACAGAGCTGGGCACACAGTGGGGCTCCAGGAAGACATGAACGCACATCCTCTCTGTGGCCACCTGGTTCCCGGCCAGAGAGCAGCTGGCGCGCAATTCCTCGGTTCCCCAGAACCGGCTGTGAAGCGATGGCAGGTGTAAATCACCACCTTCACCGGAATCACGGCCCTGGGAGCCTGGTGGGTCCCAACTGCTCTTTTGGCTCTGAACCCTGACCCAGCAGTAACCGTTTCCTGTTCTCCCCAAGGAGGTACAGATGAGATCCGAATATCTGGTGCACCCCGAGAGGCTGAGTCAGAGGTGATGAAACCAACACTGATAGTGCTGCTACTCGTGTCTGCTAAGGTTCTAGGAAATTTCAACTATTTTAAGGGAGATTGGGAGAATGTTAGTGGAAGAAAGGATGTTTTTAGTGGCCAGGCAGTTTTTACCCAAATCTCTACTGTGCTGACTCCTGCGGTGAAACATGAGGCCTCAGAAGAACAAACCCCGGGCCCGGTTTGCAGGTGGAGAAAAACTGGCTGCCCTATCATGGCGGCTGGGGGACAGATGGTCCTGCAGGTGAGGTGGGAGATTTCTGCTGTGCTAGGTTCTCAGGGCTTCCCAGCCGTCGCCTCTCCCCTCCCAGTCATTTGGCAGGAAAAACTTGCAAGAGCCTGCCTCTCACCCCAAGCCTTCAGGACCCACCCTCGGGGAAGCAGCTGATAGACCCCAGGGTGTAGGACTGACCTGAGCGAGACCCTGTTGAGTTAGGTGGAGAGTTAAGCTCCCCGGTCTCCAGTCCAACCCCGAGTCGTTCCTCCAGGCCCTACACCGGGGACCCAGGGACTCGGGGCTCGGGTCCTGCCTCACAGCCCCCCCTCCGCCCGCCTGTGGAGCCCCGCACTCACCAGCTCCACCTTCAGCGCCTGGATCTTGTCCCCCAGGCCGTGGCCCGAGCCCGGCGCCCCGGGGAGCAGCAGGCTGCCGGAGGGTCCCGGCTCCCGCTCCCCTCGCAGCCCGCGGAGCAGCCCTTCGGGGGTCTTCCTGCCCACCTTGCTCTCCACGTCCCGCAGGTCAGGCGCCGGGGGCTCCGCGGTCCCCTCCATGCGGGCCTGCAGCCGAGCCGAGCGGAGCGGCGGGCCGCCGGGGTCCCGCTCCCCAGCGTCACGGCTCCGCCGCGGGTGCCGGAACCGGTGGGTCCCTGCCCGCCGCGCGGGGGCGGAGGAGCGCCGTAATGCTCAGAAAAGCCGCGCAGGACCGTGTGCGTGCGTGTGTGTGTGGGGGGGGGGTGTGGTGTGGTGTGTGTGTGGTGTCTGGAATGCTCGTGTGTGTGTGTGTGTGTGTGTGTATGTGTGTGTGTGTGTGTGTGTGTGTGTGTGTGTGTGTGTCTGTCTCGCGGGGGCGGAGGAGCGCCGTAATGCTCAGAAAAGCCGCGCAGAGCCGTGTGTGTGTGTGTGTGTGTGTGTGTGTGTGTGTGTGTGTGTGTGTGTGTGTGGAATGCTCGTCTGGAATGTTCGTGTGTGTGTGTGTGTGTGTGTGTGTGTGTGTGTGTTCGTTCTCGAGGGCTGCGGACACAACCTCTGGCCTTGTAATGTTTAGGGCTGGGCCATTGGGCGATTCTGGACTAACTGAAGGAGCATTGGAAGAACGCAGCGCCTTCTCCCTACCCCCAAGCCTCACAGGAATCCAGCCAAGCACACGGCAGGCGCCAATAAGTGTTTGCTGAATGAAAGCTAAGCATGCTCAGTCATGGATGTGGAGTTTAAGAAACAGTGGTCATGTAACCGGACAACCAGTGGGTCCCGGCTGCCTGTCACAGCTTGAGCCAATTGAGCAGAGACCAGTTAAGCAGGGTGGAATCATATGAGTGTTTACTCCAATACTGCCAGCAGTATGGGAGAGCAGCAGGCCGTCCACAAAAATTGCTCTGCCCCTCCCCACAAGCCAGCTGCTTATATTGGGAAGAGGGAGGAAGATTACATGGGGAAGTAAGAATTACTTCCTGGCCGAAACTGGTTTGGCTCAGTGGATAGAGCATCGGCCTGCGGACTGGAAGGTCCCGGGTTCGATTCCGGTCAAGGGCATATATGTTGGTTGCGGACACATCTCCAGTAGGAGGTGTGCAGGAGGCAGCTGATTGATGATTCTCTCTCATCGATGTTTCTAACTCTCTATCCCTCTCTCTTCCTCTCTGTAAAAAATCAATAAAATATATTTTAAAAAAAGTTAATGATCCACATTAGACATAATTAAAAAAAAAAAAAAAAAAGAATTACTTCCTGGCCAGTTTGGCTCAGTGGATAGAGTGTCAGCCTGCAGACTGAAGGGTCCCAGGTTTGATTTTGGTCAAGGGCATGTACCTTGGTTGCGGGCACATCCCCAGTAGGAGGTGTGCAGGAGGTGGCTGATTGATGTTTCTCTCTCATCAATGTTTCTAACTCTCTATCCCTCTCTCTTCCTCTCTGTAAAAAAAAATCAATAAAACATATATTTTTAAAAAAGAATTACAGGCATGGGAAATTAGGTAAGGCAAAATGGTTATAGGTTACAGGCAATGCGGGCTGGAGGCGGGGGGTCACAGAGGGTGGGCACCTCCGGGTGCCTCTAGGACTAGATTGTTTAATCTTTCCACAATGATAGGTAGTTCTGGAGAAAGGAGGATAGACTGCATTCCAATGTTGGCTCCCATGTCTCGGGGTGTACAACTCTCAGCCAGGTTAGAATGAGTTTTTTCTAATCAGAACAATCATGGTTAACAGATTAATATTTTTTAAAAATATATTTTATTGATTTTTTACAGAGAGGAGGAGAGAGGGATAGAGAGCTAGAAACGTCGATGAGAGAGAAACATCGACCAGCTGCCTCTTGCACACCCCTTACCGGGGATGTGCCCGCAACTAATGTACATGCCCTTGACCAGAATCGAACCGCAGACCGACGTTGTACCACTGAGCCAAACCGGTTTCGGCCAGATTAATATTTCTTATCATTATAGCTGATCTCCACCATTCCATTTCTGCCCTGAATGGTTGCAGAGAGTTGCAGAGGATGAGCAGAAGAGCTGGATCTAAAATAGTGGTTAGAATTTAGCTAGCCACTGCCACTGCCTGTGTAGCTAATTCTAAAGTGCTTGGATTTTATGCTACAGGCAATGAGGAGCCAGGAAAAACAATGCTTTGGCTTGACTTAAAAAAAATTTTGTTGTTGTTGATTTCAGAGAGGAAGTGAGAGGGAGAGATAGAAACATCAATGATGGGAGAGAGTCATTGATCATCAGCCTCCTGCATGCTGCCTACTGGGGATCCAGCCTGAAACCTGGGGACGTGCCAGGCTGGGAACTTAACTGTGACCTCGTGGTTCATAGGTCAATGCCCAACCACTGAGCCACAATGGCTGGGCTTGATTTTGGTTTTTAATACAAGTAATTCCAGCCCATGGTTACAGGATAAAAGATAGTTACACCTGCCCTATCCTTTCCCACCTATAGTACCAATCCCAAGAAGCAATCACTGTTAGCTATTTTTTCCTAGTATATATACTTATAAGCCCACAATAGGTTTGTACCACTCTTTCTTTCTTCCTTCCTCTCTTTCTTTTTGTTAATCCTCACCCAAGGATGTTTTTCCATTGATTTTTAGAGAGTGGAAGGGAGGAGGAGAGATAGAGAGTGAAACACCCATGTGAGAGAGATACCTTAGTTGGTTGCTTCCCACACTTGCTCCCGTGGGGATAGAGCCTGCAACCAAGAGGTACATGTCCTTGACTGGAATTGAACCCAGGACCCTTCAGCTCAAGGGCCAATGAATGCTCTATCCACTGAGCCAAACCAGCTAGGGCTATACCACTATTTCTTTTTTAAAAAAATATATTTTATTGATCTTTTACAGAGAGGAAGGGAGAGGGATAGAAAGCCAGAAACATCGATGAGAGAGAAACATCAACCAGCTACCTCCTGCACATTCCCCACTGGGGATGTGCCCGCAACCAATGTACATGCCCCCCACCGGAATAGAATGTGGGACTCCTCAGTCCACAGACCGACGCTCTATTCATTGAGCCAAACCGGTTTCATCAATACCACTATGTCTTTTAAAAATTATTTTTATTGATTTCAGAGGGAAAGGGAAAGATAGAAACATCAATGATGAGAGAGAATCATTGATTGGCTGCCTCCTGCATGCTCCCCATTGGGGATCAAGCCCACAATCCAGGCATGTGGCCTGACTGGGAATCAGTATGTGGCCTCCTGGTTCATAGGTTCCACTACTGGGACACGCCAGCAGGACTATTCCACTGTTTCTTAAGTTTTAAACATTGTCTACTGACTTCCTATTATGATAAATAAGGATTTACCTCATACTCTGTAGTTCCCTTCTTCCGTTGGCCCTAAATATTTTTAGCCTTAACCTTAGTTTATATACTGGCTATCTTTGTAATTTTAAGTAACATTTTTCCTTAGTATCTCTTGATTCATGGATATGTTAACATTTTGGGGGATATCATTTAGGAAGCAGATGGAATGTGTAGAGTTCAAAAATAACTAACTGTCCCTAACTGGTTTGGATCAGTGGATAGAGTGTCCGCCTGCAGACTAAAAGGTCCTTGGTTCGATTCCGGTCAAGGGCGTGTACCTTGGTTGCAGGCATGTCCCCAGTAAGGGGTGTACAGGAGACAGCTGATTGATGTTTCTCTCTCATCGATGTTTCTAATTCTCTATCCCTCTCCCTTCCTCTGTAAGAAATCAATAAAATGTATTTTTTTTTTTAAAAGATTGGGATAGTAGTGCCCACCTTATGGAGCTGCGGAACTAAAAGAGTTAGTAGGAAGCGCTTAGAACACCGACTGCATAGAGGAAGCATCAAACAAGCGCACTCCCATTCACAAAGAAGGGACCCTAGGCGGAGACCTGCAGTGACCTGCCCAGGACCTGGGTTTGGCCGTCAGAGGCCACGCACGCCGCAGATAGGGTGCAGCCTCCCCCAGCGCTGGAAGGTCGTGGTGTCCCAGATCCGAGCTCCCTGCCCCAGGGTGCCCTGCTCTCTGCCCTGGGCGTGGGGGGGGACGGGGACGTGCTCCCTGCCCCGGGGTGCCGTGGGTCCAGCCCAAGCTCCAGGACTCCCACTGGAGCCGGGTTTGCCGCCGGGGGTGCAGGAGGTGGGGGACCCGCTGCTCCCCAGCGCCCGCTGCTCCCCAGCGCCCGCTGCTCCCCAGCGCCCGCTGCTCCCCAGCGCCCGCTGCTCCCCAGCGCCCGCTGCTTCCCCAGCTCCGCCCGCCGGCCGCGGAGCCGGGGAGGGGCTGGGGACGCCCGGATCCGGGGACACCCCGCCCGCCGCCCCGCCCTGAGCGCCGCCCGCCGCCCTCTCACCCCCGGAAGCGGGGAGGCGGGCCGGGCGGGCCGGGGGCGGGGCCTCGGCGGCATGGAGGAGGCGGAGGCCGCGGCGGGCCGGGCGGAGCGGGGCCGGCCCGAGAGGGCCCCGCGCGGGGCCCAGGGCCCCTGAACCGTGAGTGCTCGGGCGGGGCCGGGGAGCGCTGCCGGCCTCCGGGGCCTCGGGCGGCCCGGCCCTGCGAGGAGGAGGAGGAGGAGGAGGAGGAGGAGAAGGAGGAGAAGGAGGAGGAGGAGGAGGAGGAGAGCGGGCCGGATGGGAGGGGGCGCGGGGCTGGGCGCGGGGGGCGGGGGAGGCCGCCGCCCTGGCCCATCCCAGGACGGGGAGGCCCGGGCTCGGTGCTTGGGGGGCGGGTGAGCCTTGGAAGCCGATGGTTTGCCCTCTTCCCCCGGGCGCCTGGGCAGCTGTCAGCCCCCGGTCCCCGGGGAGCTCCAGGTGGCCTGACCCTCTGAAGGTTTCCTTGGAAAAGTTGGGCCACGTTCCCCAGGTCACACACAGGATGGGTGCCTGCAGGGGAGAGTTACCGGGAGGGCCTCCCCGCCTCCCCGGGGGCAGCTGACTTTAGGAAGAACACCTCACTCACTCCATGGGGCCCTCTGGTCCCCCCGGTTCCCTGAAGGCATGGGTTCAGGACGGCGGTGACCCTCCCATCCGGCATGGACGACTGGAAGCCCAGCCCCCTCGCCAAGCCCTTCGGGGCTCGCAAGAAGAGGAGCTGGTACCTTACCTGGAAGTATAAGCTGACCAACCAGCGGGCCTTGCGGAGATTCTGTCAGGTACAGAGATGTCCCACACCTCACAGGGCTTCCTCCCTCCCAGCCTTACCCCAGCCTAGAACGTAAGCCTAGACTATAAGCACTGGAACTCTTCCCCTTGGCTGCCCTCTCCACCTAGAAAGGGGAGGGGCTGTGGGTTCCTCGTGGGGAAACCTCTTTGTGTCATGTCCCTGCTAGGTAGTGGTGTGGGCCCAGAACAGCCTTCTAGGCTTCCGACAGAAGCAGGAAGTTTGATTAAAAGGCTTTGCCGACCAAACCGGTTTGGCTCAGTGGATAGAGCTCAAGGGTCCCAGGTTCGATTCCGGTCAAGGGCATGTGCCTTGGTTGCGGGCACATCCCCGGTGAGGGGTGTGCAGGAGGCAGCTGATTGATGATTCTCATCGATGTTTCTAACTCTGTCCCTCTCCCTTCCTCTCTGTAAAAAATCAATTAAAAAAAAAATATATATATATAAAGGCTTTGCCCAGGAGCCCACACCAGTCAGGCAGTCAGCCCTGGGACCCAGGTCTTTTGATGCTCAGCTCCCTCTCTGGGACTGGCTCCATCTTTAGGAACTAATTGTGGAGGGAACCGAGGCAACCAAAGCCTCTCCCATTGAAAACTACAGGAGCTCTGCGAAGGGAAGAAGGGAAGGTGGGGGGGCGGACGGGGGAGATCATGGACCTGGGCCCTGGTTGGAAGCGTAGAGCTGGGCCGGCAGGAGGAGAGAAAGACCCCGGTTCTCCCTGTGCCTTCACCGCAGCCAGGGCCCTCCTTGCAGGGAGACCCTCGCTGATCTGGAGGGAATTTCCCTCTTGAGTCGTCCCCACTCCTCCCTTCAGACAGGGGCTGTGCTTTTCCTGCTGGTGACTGTCATCGTCAACATCAAGTTGATCCTGGACACACGACGGGCCATCAGCGAGGCCAGTGAAGACTTGGAGCCGGAGCAAGACTATGGTGGGGCGAGGCTGAGGAGGGGACTGGTGTGTGAGTGTGTGTGTGTGTGTGTGTGTGTGTGAGAGGCCGGGGGTTCCCGGGATCTCACGGCTGAAACAGCGGCAGGTCCCACAGGCTGAGACCACCTCCATGACCCGTCGTGTCCACACAGATGAGGCCCTGGGCCGGTTGGAGCCGCCCCGGCACAGGGGCAGTGGACCCCGGAGGGTCCTGGATGTGGAGGTGTATTCCAGCCGCAGCAAAGTGTATGTGGCCGTGGACGGCACTACGGTGAGTGGGCTTGGGGCCGGCGTCCACTCCTTTCTGCCTGAGGGGGAACGGTGCCTCTGCCCGCTTCTACGTGCGTGACGTTGGAGGCCTCAGTGCCTCCTCGGTAACCTGGGACTAATCATGATTTCTCCTTGTCAGGCTTGTAAGTGAAAAGTATGTGACGCATGTTATATGTGGTGGGGTTTTATCAGGAGTAATTATCAGTATGAGTAGGTAGTTAACTCATTGTTCTTTATGTCAGAATGACTTCCTGGTCCCTTCCTTCGCCTTGTCTGGGGCACTGGGACCTGAGAGGAATCAGGTCTGGCCCTACTGAGAGGGGTTTAATGTAAGAGCGTGAAAGCCATGGAGGGGAGGGTCGGAGAGAGGTGTGAGCTCTTTTGATCGGGTGCCATGGAGGCTTCCTGGAAGAGGTGGCCTTCACGCTGGGCGGGAAGAGAATTGTGTAAGAGGCAGAGGTAGGCAGGAGGAGAGGTTTCGTTTCATGCAGTCGCTGTTTTTCTTAAGTGCCAATAAGACAGAGAGACCTTGAATGCCAGAGTGAAGAGGTGGGCTTTGTCTCTGCCGCCCTGTAGGTCCTGGAGGATGAGGCCCGTGAGCAGGGCCGAGGCATCCATGTCATCGTCCTCAACCAGGCCACGGTGAGGTTCTGGGGGGAGGGGACCTGGAGGGCCGAGGCCGAGCCCTGCTGCTGGTGATGCACACTCACAGGTGCTCTGTGCTCTGCCAGGGCCACGTGATGGCAAAGCGGGTGTTTGACACCTACTCACCTCATGAGGATGAGGCCATGGTTCTGTTCCTCAACATGGTGGCGCCCGGCCGAGTGCTCATCTGCACCGTCAAGGTCAGTGACTACCTGGCCCCAGCCCCCAAGACCCAGCTCCAACCCTGCCCACGGCCCTGAGTTCTATGCCCCTAATATGGCACACGGAGAAGAGACTCTGGAGGAAGGTAACTCAGGTTCCAACACTAGCCTTGTTATTTATTTTTATTTATTTTTATATTTTATTTATTTTTAAAAAAATATATTTTATTGATTTTGTACAGAGAGGAAAGGAGAGGGATAGAGAGCTAGAAACATCGATGAGAGAGAATCATCGATCAGCTGCCTCCCACACACCTCCTACTGGAAATGTGCCGCAACTCAGGTACATGCCCCTGACCGGAATCGAACCCAGGACCTTTCAGTCCGCAGGCTGACGCTCTATCCACTGAGCCAAACCGGTTTCGGCATTTTATTGATTATTTATAGAGAGGAAGAGAGAAGGATAGAAAGTCAGAAACATCGATGAGAGAAACATCGATCAGCTGCCTCCTGCACCCCCCCCACTGGGGATGTGCTCGCAACCAAGATACATTCCCTTGACCGGAATCAAACCCGGGACCTTTCAGTCCGCAGACCGACACTCTATCCACTGAGCCAAACCGGTTTCGGCTAGTCTTGTTATTTTTATTAATTGAGAAGCAGGACAGAGTCCCTACCCTTTAGGAGTTTGTTCCAGCCGAGCAAGAGTAGCTAAGTAAATGTTTAATGTCAGGAAGTGATAATGTATATGAGGAGGAAAATAAAGAAAGGGAGACAGCGATGGGGGATGTATTTGAGAAAGGGAAGGCCTCTGTTAGGAAATGGCATGTGAGCGGAAAGCTGGAGGAAGTGTGGAGGGAGCCATGCAAATATCTGGAGGAAGAGCATTCTAAATAGAAAGAAGGTCCTTGGCATACTTGGAGAAGAGAGGGATGCCAGGGGAGCTAGAGCAGAATAAGGGAGGGGGGAAGAGTGGGGACGAGGTCAGAGAGAGTGAGCAGGGGACAGAGGTGCATATTGTGTGGGATTATGGAAAGGATTTATTAGGCTGGTGACCTCGGATGATCCTCAGATTTCTCCCTAAGCCTTCAGTGTTCTTATCTGTGGAATGACGGTATTCACAGAGGGTTGTTGGGATCATTTAACAGCTAATTTAAGGAAAAGATTTGGCCTGGTGCTTGACACTGAGTTGGTGCTCCATGAGGCCAGGCCTCCTGGAGTTGTGCTGGTCAGGCTGACCACCTTCTCTGGTCTCTCAGGACGAGGGCTCCTTCCACCTCAAGGACACGGCCAAGGCTCTGCTGAGGAGCCTCGGCAGCCAGGCCGGCCCTGCCCTGGGCTGGAGGGACACCTGGGCCTTCGTGGGACGAAAAGGAGGTGCCGCACCATAGCCCATCCACCCTGTGGGGTTAAGGGCCGAGGGGAGCAGAATCCTCTGTGGGGTGGGGTGGGGTGGGGTGGGACGGGAAGCGAGGAGGTGCCAGGGGTGGTGCGTTGGATGAAAGTGGGCAGGGAGATGGGAAGAAGCTCCAAAACTGGAGTCTGGGGCGCCCATTTTTCCTCGCTCCTGCCCCTGGCCAGGTCCTGTCCTCGGGGAGAAGCACTCTAAGTCACCCGCCCTTTCGTCCTGGGGGGACCCAGTCCTACTGAAGACAGACGTGCCGCTGAGCTCAGCTGAAGGTGGGATCCGTGGGGGCTGGGCTCTGGGGCAGTGCTTGGGCTGGGCTGGCCATTTGGCTCCTCTTCATGGGGCCTTGTTCTCTTGACCGGGTGCCTGGGCTGCTTCAGGCCGCGCTGGCCTCATGCCCCCGCCTGCGGACCCTCTCTCTCCCTCAGAGGCAGAGTGCCACTGGGCGGACACAGAGCTGAACCGGCGCCGCCGGCGCTTCTGCAGCAAAGTGGAGGGCTACGGGAGCGTGTGCAGCTGCAAGGACCCCACCCCCATCGAGTTCAGCCCCGACCCAGTGAGTGGGGCCTCAGGCAGTGAGGCTTGGACTCCTTCCCAGCTTGGCAAGGGGCCCCAGGGCAGATCCAGGTTGGGCTTTCTCTACCTGAGCCTGGGAGCGAACCAGGAGCGGAGGATTTGCACTGAGCTCTGAAAGACGGGGCATCCTGGGGAGGGGGGGAGGGCGGGAGGGCAGGCCCCGTGAGCAAAGGCCCAGAGTCAGAGGAGGACTCTCTGCCTTTCCCCTGAAGTCCCCCTCGCCCCTCAGGAACTCCTCCCTTGGGAGGAACCCCAGGTTGGAGAGGGAATAAGGCAAGAGTTAAAAGCTGTTTCTCCCTCAGCTCCCAGACAACAAGGTCCTCAATGTGCCCGTGGCTGTCATTGCGGGGAACCGGCCCAATTACCTGTACAGGTGAGCCCGGGGCGGGCTGCATCCAGCACGAGCAGGAGGGTGCTCAGTGGGTGGGAACCCCAGGCTCCCCTGTCTGTAGGGGGAGCTCTTGAGGTGGGCGGGAAGATTCTAGGTCCATTGCCATATGTGGGTGAACGTGAGGAATGTGGGCCCCGCTATGAACATGGGGAGCCCTCCGTTGGGGGGGGGACACAAAGACGCCTAACTTATCCTCGGGCTCCCCAGGATGCTGCGCTCTCTGCTCTCAGCCCAGGGCGTGTCTCCCCAGATGATAACTGTGTTCATTGACGGCTATTACGAGGTGAGTGGGCTTCGGGTGGGGCAGAGCACCGTGTTTCCAGCGCTGAGTAGCAGTGATCACCGAGGCCTGGCAGGGGCTGTGACATGCGGAGGGCTTGGCGTGTCAGGGGGGGAGGTGGCTCAGTGGGTGACCAGCGGCCATGCCCCCCAGGAGCCAATGGACGTCGTGGCGCTGTTTGGTTTGAGGGGCATCCAGCACACCCCCATCAGCATCAAGAATGCCCGCGTGTCTCAGGTACCGCCTTGGCAGGGATGGCAGGGGCAGGCGCCTGGCAGCACCGTCCACCCTAAAGCTCACGTGCCTGTTTCTGTTCCCCACCCAGCACTACAAGGCCAGCCTCACTGCCACGTTCAACCTGTTCCCGGTGAGTAGTAAGCACAGAGCTCTTGGGCCCAGGGAGGGGAAACACGAGCATCAGGTCTGGCCTCACGTAGCAAGCTCTTCGTCCTCCTCTCCGGGAAAGTGTGGCGAGCGCTGCCCGAGAAGGGGGTGCGGGTGGAGGGACCTGAAACCGGAACGGTCCCTTCGGGAGCCTGTTGTCCCCCTCCCGCGGCAGGAAGCCAAGTTCGCTGTGGTTTTGGAAGAAGACCTGGACATTGCGGTGGATTTTTTCAGGTGAGGGGAATGCCTTGCCGTTGCATCTTCTGTGAGCTGCACGGGGCCTCTTTGCTTGGCTGGGTCTCCAAGGAAGAAGGCAGTGAGGGGTCCTGCAGAGCTTTCTGGAGGAAGCAAGCTCAAAGGCGGGGCCAGAGTCTGAGCAAATGTGGAGTGGCAGGTGCTGGGCTGGAGTAGAGAGCTGAAAGAACGAGACGGGAGATTTAAGGGGAAGAACAAGGGGGCATGCCGAAACGGGTTTGGCTCAGTGGATAGAGCATCGGCCTGCGGACTGAAAGGTCCCAGGTTCGATTCCGGTCGGGGGCTTGCGCCTTGGTTGCCGGTGCATCCCCAGTGGGGGGCGTGCAGGGGGCGACTGATTGATGTTTCTCTCTCATCGATATTTCTGGCTCTCTATCTCTCTCCCTTCCTCTCTGAAAAATCAATAACATATATTTAAAAAAGAACAAGGGGCCAAAACCGGTTTGGCTCAGTGGACAGAGCGTCGGTCTGCGGACTGAAAGGTCTCAGGTTCGATTCCGGTCAAGGGCATGTACATTGGTTGCGGGCACATCCCCGGTATTGGGTGTGCAGGAGGCAGCTGGTCTATGTTTTTCTCTCTCTCTCTCTTTTTTTTTTTTTTTTTTTTTTTAATATATTTTATTGATTTTGTACAGAGAGGAAGGGAGAGAGATAGAGAGTTAGAAACATCGATGAGAGAGAGTCATCGATCAGCTGCCTCTTGCACACCCCCTACTGGGGATGTGCCCACAACCAAGGTACATGCCCTTGACCGGAGTCGAACCCGGGACCCTTCAGTCCCCAAGCCGACGCTCTATCCATTGAGCCAAACTGGTTTCGGCGATGTTTCTAGCTCTCTATCCCTCTCCCTTCCACTCTGTAAAAAAACCAATAAAAAAAAAGAACAAGGGGACATGACTTTTGAGTTCCATCTCCTGCCCTTTGCGTATCACGGAATGACTGGGTTTGTCCTTGTCCCTCCCTGAACGCCTGGACCCCCTGCCTCTCTCAGTTTCCTGAGCCAATCCATCCACCTGCTGGAGGAGGATGACAGCCTGTACTGTATCTCTGCCTGGAACGACCAGGTAGGCTGAGAGGCCAGGGGTCGGCTGGGATGTGTGTAGAGGCAATAACTCCCGCCACGGTCTCCTATCCCCAGGGGTACGAACACACGGCTGAGGACCCGGCATTGCTGTACCGCGTGGAGACCATGCCGGGGCTGGGCTGGGTGCTGAGGAGGTCTTTGTACAAGGAGGAGCTTGAGCCCAAGTGGCCCACGCCAGAAAAGGTGTTGTGCCAGGGTAGGGAAGTGAGCTGGGGTCCCCTGCCAGCTCCACATCTCTTGACCTCCGCGACCTTCCCTGCCGCCAGCTCTGGGACTGGGACATGTGGATGCGGATGCCTGAACAGCGCCGGGGCCGGGAGTGCGTCATTCCTGACGTCTCCCGCTCCTACCACTTCGGCATCGCGGGCCTCAACATGAATGGCTACTTCCACGTGAGTGGGAGGGGTGTTGGGATGTGGGGGGACGGGGGGGGGCACAGTATGGCAGATAGCACAGAGAGCACGGACTCTGGAGCAACCCCGGTCTGCCTCTCACTAGCTTTGTAACCGTGGGGAGATTACTGACCCTCTTTTTTTTTTTTTTTTTTACCCGAGAACATGTTTTTTTATTGATTTTTGGAGAAAGAGAAACATTGATATAAGAGGAAAACATTGATCAGTTGCCTCCCTACATGCCCCTACTGGGGATGGAACCCACAACCTCGGTGTGTGCCCTGACCGGGAATCAAACCCAAAACCCGTAAACCCTGGTGTACGGGACCATGCTCCAGCCAACGGAGTCACCTAGCCAGGGCTACTGATCCTCTTAAAAAAATAAAAAAAAATATATTTTTATTGATTTCAGAGAGAGGAAGGAAGAGAGAGAGACATCAATGATGAGAATCATTGATCAGCTGCCTCCTGCACACCCCTTCTAGGGATCCAGTCAGCAATCTCAGCATGTGCCCTGACTGAGAATCGAACCATGACCTCTTGGTTCATGGGTAAATGCTCAGCCACTGCGCCAATCTGTTGGGCCTGATGATCCTCTTTTTCCTCAGTGTTTTTTTTTTTTTTTTTAAATATATTTTATTGACTTTATACAGAGAGGAAGGGAGAGAGATAGAGAGTTAGAAACATTGATGAGAGAGAGTCATCGATCAGTTGCCTCTTGCACACCCCCTACTGGGGATATGCCCGCAACCAAGGTACATGCCCTTGACCAGAATCGAACCCGGGACCCTTCAGTCCCCAAGCCGACGCTCTATCCATTGAGCCAAACCGGTCCCAGCTCCTCAGTGTTTTTATTTTTAAAATACTGTTTCCCTAGTAGGGCTGTGAGGTTATGAGGTTTAAATGAGTTGCTATATGCAAAATGCGTCGAGCTGTCAGCATTATATAAGGGTTAGCTGGTATCATTTTTATTATTACTATTCTTAGCGCGAGGCTGTGGGTGCGGGGAGAGTATTTCTGCTGCCAGGCACATATCCAGCCCTGCAAGTTCTGCCCTCTCCCGTCCTTGGAAGTTCTGTGGCCTGAACAGGGAGGTCCCGGGTCTCTACCCGCTGTATGGCTGTGTCCAAAGGGCCACTCCCCCGTTATAGCAAGGGAGGCCTGGAGACAGTCCAGCCTGAAGGGATGGACAGCTTCCAGTTTGAAACCTTCTAGAAGCCAGAACGGCCCTCAGAGACCAGCTCATATCAGACCTCCACTCATTTCCCCACGAGGGACAGGCATTTAGCTCAGCACCTTAGTCACAGGAGCTTCCTCTCCCAGTCCAGCCAGCCCCCTTGCCCACTGCCCCCTGCAGGACCTGTTCCTGGCTTCTGTGGATCCAGAACAGCTGGCCCAGGGAGAACCGCTGGGGACAGGACTAGCTCAGGGTCAGTGGCATGAGCTGCTGGTGTGGAAATGAGCTCTCTGGCAATGCTCAAGTCCACATTAAAGACAATAAGGACCCGCCAAGGATATTGCCAAGAGGACAGGAAGACAAGGAAACTAGAGGGACCTTCACGGGTCCAGGACTTACTTTGTGGGCCTCTGGGTATGTAGTGGGTCAGTGGGCAGACAATGGAAAACTCTGATTTGCACCTCACGCCCCCTCCAGGAGGCCTACTTCAAGAAGCACAAATTCAACACGGTTCCAGGCGTCCAGCTCAGGAACGTGGACAGGTAGGATATTGGGGAGTCTGGATGACCATTGTTTGACCGTCCCTTCCAACCCTGAGGCCTGTGTGTATCCCAGCCTGCTGTCCCCCAGTTCCCATGTGAACCCCAGCCCTGCTCCTGGGAACAGGGGGCCACCCTCTCCCTTGAACCATGTCTCCCTCTCCTTTAGTCTGAAGAAGGACGCTTACGAGGTGGAAGTCCACCGGCTGCTTAGGTATGGCCTGGGGCCGGAGGGTATGTGGCAGGGAGAGAGGAGGGTCAGATACTCGGGTCTAGGCCTCGTCATTTGTGGGGCCACTGCAAGATGAAAATCAGGGCTCCTTGTTCAAAATAAGAAGGTCAAGAGGGCAACAACTGAGCAAGGGGCCTCACGAGTGGGGTCCTTACTCCTCCCCCTCCCCCGCTGCAGTGAAGCCGAGGTGTTGGACCACAGCAAGAACCCGTGTGAAGACTCTTTCCTGCCGGACACTGAGGGCCACACCTACGTGGCCTTTATCCGAATGGAGAAAGACGATGACTTCACCACCTGGACTCAGCTTGCCAAGGTGCCCCTTACACCACACCGCCCTACAACCCCCTCTTTCCCCAGGACTCAGGGCGCCTTTTACCTTAGAACCTTTCCATTACACTTTCAGACCCATCTTTCAACCTCCTTGTCCGGGTTTACGTTTTAAAAGATGCTACCTCTTGTTAGAAGTAGAAAAAAAAAATAATTTTTTGAGAGCTTGTAAAAAGAAAAAAGAACAGATGCTGTCCTTTGCAAATTGAAGAGGCTGCTGAGGAGGGGATGGGGGCTGGGCCTTGGGTCCTCAGGGGCCGCTCCCCACAGCGCTCGGACCCATGCCTCTCCCTGTCCCCCGCCCCCCCAGTGCCTCCATATCTGGGACCTGGATGTGCGCGGCAACCACCGGGGCCTGTGGAGGCTGTTTCGGAAGAAGAACCACTTTCTGGTCGTGGGGGTCCCAGCCTCCCCGTACTCGTGAGTGCCTCGTTCCTGCCCCCGGAGGTGGGAGACTGGCCGGATGGGACATGGCGAATGACCTCTTTCCTGTTGCCTCCCCAGGGTGAAGAAGCCACCGGCAATCACCCCAATTTTCCTGGAGCCGCCCCCAAAGGAGGAGGGGGCCCCAGGTGCTGCAGAACAGACGTGAGGCCTCCTCCAGGACCCTGCAGGGCTGGGTACTGTGTACCCCCAGGAAGGCTAGGCCTTCACCCCATCCTGTGGGATTTTGTAGACACTGGCAGGGGTTGGGGTTGGTTTGTTTTTTTAACATGAGACTTAATTACTAACTTCAAGGGGAGGGTTCCCCTGTCCCAGCGCCCCTGGGTCTGGGTTGGGGGTCTATTTATTTACTTCCTTGTTGGGAAAGGGCAGGATGGCGGCTGGGATCCTCGAGCAGCTGATCCTGCCCTTTTATACTCCCTCCTCCCAGGCCTGGCTCAGAATTTAACTATTTATTTACTGTCCTGAGGGCCTTGGAAACTGGGTGAAGCCGGAAGGACCTGGATTCTTTTATGGACTGGGGTGCTGCCCTGAGGGTGTGGCTGGCTCTCTCAGGAAACTGCTGAGCCCAGCTCCCAGACAGGGCCAGCAGGGGCCGCCCGCTGCTGCAGACACACCGAGACCCTCACCCTGAACCAGGCCACTTCTCTCTTCTCAGCCTCATCTTTGTCCAGGTTTCCAAAGCTGGATAAGGTGGTCATTGATTAAAAAAGGAGAAAACCTCTATGGATGGATGTGTCTCTTTGTGTGTGTGTGTGTGAGAGAGAGAGAGAGAGAGAGATGGTCATGATGGATGGTGAGTTTTCCTTACTGCCCCCTTAGGGTTTATCTTCCGTTTGGGGCCATTTGGCCACCAGGGGATGCCCAAGTCTTAAACTTCAAGGTGTTTCCCTAGGCTCCACCCTAGAGCCTCACCTGTTGGGCTGAGCCATGGAGTAGCCACCCCACACCCTGTTCCCTCTGTTTAACCACCAACCGTTTCCTGCCTGGCTTGTCGGGGCCAGGCACTTGTCCCCTGATATGGAGCAAAAGAGAACAAAAGGAGATATTTAGGTGTGGGGAGGCAATGGGAGCACATGTGAGTGGAGAGAGGCGTGGACGGGAAGAAAGTGGGTGAGACACAGCTGGGTTGGGCATCACTCAGGAGGCTCGGACTGCGCTGCAGATGGCAACAGGAGCAAGGATTTCTGTGGCCATTGGGCACTGTTTGCAGATTTCATAGCTGGGCATTTTTTTTTCTGAAGAAAAGCCATTGTTTTCATCAGACTTTCACCCAGTCGGTGATCCAGAGAGGTTAAGAAGCTCTAAGTCGTGAAGGTACCAGAAAATGAATGGAATTGTCTGCAGGGAGTGGATGCGATACCCCAAGCAGGAGAAGTTTGACATATAAGGGAGCTGTGAAGGACTTAGGATCAGGGGAGTGAGTACAGAATAGTTCTTGAGGAACGGTCTGCCTGCAGAGCCCGTGTGAGGTGAGTCTGGTGAGCACCTGTAGGGCCTTGGCCAGGAAGGCAGGAGTTCCCGCCCTTTCGCCAGCTCTGCCCCTGCCTCCCCCACCGGTGCCTGGCGCTCAGGTCGGCGATGGCACGGGTGGTGTGTGGTTAGAACGTTTCTTGCCACCCTGCTGACTTCAGTGTTTGCTGTAGGTAGAGATAGTGTTTGAGGTGCCATAACAGTCAGATTGAGGAGCAATTAGCTCTCTATGAGGCGGAGACCCACCCTGGGCAAACAAATCATCAACCTTCCCTGTCCGGCCCTAAACACTGGCCTGCCACACCCAAGCTGAGCACTTCTTGTTGTTACTGGTAGTTCCCACCATCAAGAGAGCCTTGACCCACCTCAGGAGTTGTGTGTGCGAAGCTTAGTAAGGTGAAGGAGGCTCATTGCTCTCCCTGCCCACCCCCCAGCAGGGTCCTAATTTTGACCTCAAACTAGCTCTGAGGCACTGTATGGCTCTGGTCAGGTCACTTCCTCTCTGGGCTCAGCAACCGGTGATAGTTCCTGACTCTCTTAGAAAAACCTGGGAGGGGGTCAAAGGGAAGCAAGAGGAGGACTGGTTAGCCAGGCTGGGCTTTGCTTGGTAGCAGACACCATGCTCTCCAGCCATAGCTGCCTCCTTAGTGCTCCCGGTTCAGCAGCAGTCAGATCCCTGTGGGGGATTCGGGCCTTCCGGTAAATCTGTCGCCATGTCAGATAGTGTGGGCCTGGAACTAGTCACGTGGCCTTCGTAGGCCCAGTTTCTTTTTATTTATTTATTTTTTTATTTTTATTGATTTTGTACAGAGAGGAAGGAAGAGAGATAGAGAGTTAGAAACATCGATGAGAGAGTGTCATCGATCAGCTGCCTCTTGCACACCCCCTACTGGGGATATGCCCGCAACCAAGGTACATGCCCTTGACCGGAATCGAACCCGGGACCTTTCAGTCCCCAAGCCGACGCTCTATCCATTGAGCCAAACCGGTCCTGGCTGGCCCAGTTTCTTGAGGATGGGGGTGGTTAAGACAAAACGGAGATCAGATCTGAAGAGCACCAGGCAGGCCAGGACCAAGAATACATGTTCTTTCTGAAGTCCCCAAAGCAGGGACCGTGTGGGGCTTTGCCTGAGTAGGAAGCATGGCAGCTTGGATCCTCCAACGAGGCTCCAGGGAGCTTCTCGGAGTCTAAGGAGTGACGCCCTCCCGTTGCCCTGGCAATATTTTTTATGTCCCCCGCCCCCACTTGGGCATAAGCTTGTTATTTTCATTGCTTTCTGGTTCAGTGCCCCTACTCAGGAATGAGTAGTTTCAGTCCAAAGTCCTCCCACGTTATAGGCAGGCTGACCCAGCCCCCACTTCTTCCCTCGGTGCCCTCTCGGCCATCGCTCTTATGCTCCCTCCCAGGCCTGGAATTCACGTGGAGAGAAAAAAAATAGCCACCCACCTCCACTCCTCTTCTGCTACCTTTCCAGGGGCCGTCTGTGTCTCTAGCCCCCCGGGAATCTGAGACCAGTTTAGGCAAGATGACTCCCTCTCCCCAATGATACACATGAAAAGAGTCCCGATGGAAACAATTTAATTGGTTTGTGAATTCCGAGGTGCCTTCTACACATCCGCCGGGTCACTGCTAATTTTCCATGTGCTCAGGAGATAGGGTGCCTTGTTCCCCAGGGGAGTCCTGGGGTCACCAAGAGCTTCTGTTGGCCTTCAGGAAGGGGTATCAAGGGTTTGAGAGACAGACTGGAGGAACGGCAGGAGGACTGCCTTCCCTAGAACTGGCTCTGGAACAGGTGGGCCCCAACCCCATCAATGGAAGACAGAGTCTGAAGGGGTGGTCCCTGCGCGGCCTCCCTGTGGCCCACATGGCACTGTTAGATCCTGTCGCCACCCTGATCATGGCCTTGGGCAGTGCCAGGGAGCCCTTCCCAGTTCCTGTGTGGTAGGAGCAGTGGCGGAGGCAGAGGCGGACTTATTTCAAATTGCAGTACAGATACATGGACACAATCATGGCAGCCAGCTGGTGGGGAAGGAATAGGGAGAGATGAGGCAACATGGTCAGGGTCTTTAAGCTTTGGTGCCCCGCCCCCCAAACTCCCTTCACGAAACTGTCAGAAGTCTGTGTCCTCCGGAGAGGCCTCAGGGATGGGACAAGCGGCTCTGTTCCAGTGGGGACATCCTGCTCCGACCTCCTCACCCCCTTACCTCCAAGCCTCCGATTCCGGCCGCCACGCCACCCACGGTGACTGCGTTGGTTCGGATGTCACTCAGAAGCTGATCGAAGCAACCCTTGGAGAAGGGGAGAGAGCATCTATAGTCAGCTCCTGCCTCTCCCCCACCCCTCCCCCCGCTTTCAGCACTCCGAGGCCATGGATGCGGCCCAGACTTCCAGGCCAGCCCTCACCTGTACAGGATTGTCCTCGGCCCTCTTCTTGGTGCAGGGTTCCGTGCTATTGGCACCATTAGAGCAACAGTATGGGGGGAAGGCGTTGTGCTCTGTGTAGAAGGGAGAGTCCTCGAAATCCGTGTAGTTGTTGAAGCCACAGCACTTGAGCTGGAGACAAAGAGGGGAGGGTGGTCGTGAGGGCCTTGCCTCTTTTTTTTTTTTTTTTTTTAATATTTATATTGTATTGATTTTTTTTTTTACAGAGGGAGAGAAAGTTAGAAACATCGATGAGAGAGAATCATCGATCAGCTGCCTCTTGCCCCCCTCCAACTGAGGACGTGCCCACAACCAAGGTACATGCCCTTGATCGGAATCGAACCCGGGACCTTTCAGTCCAGTCCGCAGGCCGACGCTCTATCCACTGAGCCAAACCGGTTTTTGGCAAGGGCCTTGCCTCTTTCTCCCCACTCCCGAACCTCCCCAGCCCACCTTACCCCTTCCATGGTGCTGTTCCACACTTGTGTGAAGTCTTTCTGGGAACCGTAGTCCTTCTTGATGGTCTGCACTGCCAGCAACGTCAGGAAGTGCTCCGCCTGGGGAGAGCGGGCCAGTGGTTAGGGCCTGATAGGCAAGGTGGCCACTCACAGGCCACAGCCCACTTCCCGGGCTTTGCCCAGTCTCACTCCCTCGCCCCATCCTCAGTCCTCACCACTGAGGTGTACACCAAGGCGACCACAGCAGCTGCGACCTCGGCAATGAAGATGACGAGGAGGATGAGGAAGAACTGAATAGGAAAGAAGGGTCTGCGTTTTAGGGAGAGGCAGTCCCTCATGAATTCCTTGCCCTAACCCCTCCTCCCCCCCCTAAAAAGGAGGCAGGGGCCCCTTCGCTGAGGCCCTTGGGATCCAGATGAGGGTCTGGGGAGCCCCAGGGCCTGGTGTCAGAGGCGAGGGGGCTGGTTGGACACACCATCATGAGGGCACACTTGTTCTCGGTGTGGGCGCCGTAGCAGCCCAGGAAGCCGAGAGCGAAGAGCACCGCGCCAGCTGCGATGAGGAAGTAGCCCACGTTGACAAACTGCATGGCGCTGGAAGACAGCGGCCCGAAGATCTCCAGGAAGGACGGCCCGTCCACTGACACCCAGATCCCCACGGCCAGCAGCGCCACACCGCACAGCTGAGGACAGAGAAGCAGGCCTTGAGACGGTGCTGGCAGCCCAGTTCCCTGCCACACTGGGAATCAGGAAAATGGGAGATGAGAAATTTCCCCTTTTTTTGGGCTAAAAAGTCTAAAAATCTCATCCTGTAGAGAGGAAAAACATCCTGCAAAGCCAGAAGATGGGAGCTGGGATACCCACAGCCAGCACCAGGCTGCACACCTGGGATCAGAGGTTCCTAAAATATCCCTGTGGAGGGGAAGGGGACAAGGGGCTGCCCAGACTTTCCCTCGCCGATGCCAGGGTCCTGCCACATGCCTCAGCGTGAAAACAAGCAGGTGAGCACCCACCCCACCCTATCTCCTCCCCGGGCTGTGGGTGCCTGGAACACCTATGTCCTCTGATAGGTGGAGACAGGGGGGTGGTAGCATGGAGCAGGCTCCACGGTAACCACGGAAACGAAGGCGGGGCTGAGGTTTACACCTAACTCCCAACCTTGGAGAGGAAGGTGGTGAGAAGGGACACCTACCCTGGGGCCCCATTTGGCTCCCTCCCAAGGTTCGACTCCAGGCCTGTCCTTTATCCAGCCCAGACCTCTGCTCGTAGAGACTGAGGGGGAGTACGGTCATAGCGCATGGACGCTCCCTCGCTCGCTCCACACCTCCGAGGGAATCCTGAGGCCCAGAGTGGGGAGGAGGGCACTGCCCAGGTCCCAAAGCTCTTAAAGCAAAGCCTTTGGGATCCCACAACCTTGGTGCCCAGTCCCCTCTTTGCAGCCATAGGCACTGAGGCTGGAACCAGGAGTGAAGTGGCAGAACGTGGCTGGATTCCAGGCATGTTTGCCCAAGGACAAAAAGCTGGACTTTCGGCCTGCAGGGTCAAATTTCAAGGAGTCTGAGGCCTGCCCTGCCCTGCCCAGCCTGGCAAAGCCTGGGCAACGGAGGCCAGAAACCAAACCGGATTTGCCTTTAACCCCCTCCGGCCAGAGTCTTTACTGTCCAAATTGATGGGATCCTGTTGTCTTCTTTACATACATGAATAACAGCTGGTTCTCCAAAGCCACAGCCGGCACTGGAGTCTTACTTACCCCGGACCAATTTCTCCAAATTCATCTGCTCTCCGTGTCTCCCTCCCTCCCCTTTTACTCCCTCTAACCCACTCTAACGTGGCTCCCGGTCTCCCGTGACATCATTCTAAGTCTGGGAGGCGCCAGACGCCACATCCTCCCTGGCCTCTCTATCGCTCTCCTTGTTTTCCTCCCCTGCTCTTTCTCCAGCTGCTTCCTGGGGACCATTTCTCCACGTATTCCTTAGCAGCTGGACTTCTTGGGGTTCGCTCTCCCTGAGTGCTCTCTCACCCACGGAGTGGCTTCCGTGACCACCGACAGGCACCTGACGTTCCCTATCCATGTCCGGTTCCCACCTGAGCTGCAACGCTGAGCTGCCTGTGGTCTACCCCTGGATTGCTCAAGCCACGACCACCGGCATCCTCTCCAAGACCTCCGTCTCCCTGCCTCCTCTTCTTGCACCCCTCAGCCACCATCTCAGGCTCTCTCTCTCTCTCTCTCTCTCTCTCTCTCTCTCTCTCTCTCTCTCTCTCTTCTAAATCAATCTTTATTGTTCATATTATTACAAAAGTTCCTCATTCCCCCCCCCCCTCCACCAGGTTCCCACCCCACCCTCTGCCCTTTCCCCACCCTCCATGGTCCTCATCCATAGATGCACAGTTTCTTGAGGCTTTCTCCTTCGTCTCCTTTGCGCATTTCTCCCCCTCTCCACCGCCATCGCCGGGGTTTATGCCTCACTGCTCAGCTTCCTCAAACATGCCCCACATAATCTGTTCCCGGTCTGATTTCACCGCCTCTGGGCCTTTCTGCGTGCTTTACGGTTCCCGCACACGGCCAAATCCCCAGGAAGTTTTCTCCAGGAAGTCTCTTCTGACCAGGGGGCGTTCACCCCCCCTCCTGTGGTCTCCCTCAGCCCCCGTGCTAACACCAGAAATACTACGCTGTAACTGTCTACCTCTCTGGCCTGCTGGAACGGAGGTCCTCCAGGGCAGAGAAAGAGCTTGCTCACCTGTTACCCCAGCATTCAGCGCCGAATCTTTGGCTATAAAATGTGTGTTTAATGAGTAGACAGACCTGCTGAGAGGGTCTGGGTCTTCTCTTCTTTCAGCTCCCGGCATGCCGAGGCCCCCACATTTCCTCCTGCGGCAGGTGACTTAGGGCACCCCTTCCCCCCTCTAGGCCTCAATGCTATGAAAAGGGGAGAATTGTTCCCATTCACTGCCCTGCCTTACGTCTGGGCTAAAGCTTCCTGGAAGGGAGGGAGGGGGATCTCCAAGTTTCTCTACTCCAACCTATGTGTCAGCCAGGCTGCTGAGTGAACTCAGCATTTGGGGAGGCCTCCGCATCGTAAGGGGAAACTGGCAGGAGGCCCCGGGCACAGTGGCTCCAATTCCCCAGCCCAAGCTCTGCTCGGGTTGTGACCCACTCCTGTAGGGAGCCCCCAAAGAGCTCACAAGCCCCATACTTACGAAGATGAGAAAATTGAATAAGATCATCATGCTCTTAATGAAGCTGTAGCACTGCATGGTGGCTCCTGCGAGGCAGACATGTATGCGTTAGAACCTCCCCCTGCAGCCCCCAGGCTGGCCCTGGCCCTGACATTGAACCCTGACAAATCAGACTCCAGACTCCAGAACCCATTTATGACCAAGCTTCCCCTGCACCTGGACTGGACACCTCAGGACTTTTTCCAATTCCCATCCGGACACTCCTACCTCTCTGTTTGGCCCAGACCCTCAACCGGCACCGGGCACTCAAATCCTAACACTCGCCCGCACCCAAACCCAATTTCCGCACTGTAGGTCACTGCATGCCCTTCCCTGGCACCTATATATTCATAACCCCTCCCCAAACCCAGAGTAGACTCCTCCAGGGTCCTCCCCACGGTCCTTCCAGCTCCCCGAACCTGCTTTCAGATTGAGCTCCCTTCATGAGATAATTTCTGCCCTCGCCATCACCCACCTGTTCAGGACTCCTGGTAGTGACTTCTGAAAGGAGGATCTGCTGAGGCTCCAGCGAGGACAGGCAGCTCCAGGGAACCGCCACCGAGTGGGCAGACACGGAGCTGGCTCTCACACGCCACTGCTCACCTGCAGGCGGGGCAGGTGTTTTAAAGGCTTCCTTCTGCCCGCCTGCCTGCCCGCTCCACCCCAGCCTTCAGGCCTTCTCTCGCCCCTGCTGCCCCCTGCTGCCCGGAGATCCATCCCCACAGCCTCAAGAGCAGTGGGCCTCCCTCTGCCAGTACGAAGCACGGGCTTCCCTTCCTGATCTGAGAAGGGAGAGAAATCTGGGGGTAGGCGGGGCCCCAGACCTTCTGAGTGCCCCCCACCCCACCACAGTGCACCTATATTTCTTATCCTGTATCTACAGATACATTCATATACACCCTACATGCTGTGCTCACAGACATACACATCTACCCAAGTTGCCATCTATATATTCACACCCAAATAAAAACACCTACTGGTGCTCACGAGTACACACACACACACACACACACACACACACACGCAGTGTGTTTGTTTCAAGGCAGTGACCAAGGTTTGGCAGCTTCTGCTTCCTCCTTTGAATAACAAAAAGCTTCTAATCCTGCCGAAACCGGTTTGGCTCAGTGGATAGAGCGTCGGCCCACGGACTGAAGGGTCCCGGTTTTGATTCCGGTCAAGGGCATGTACCTTGGTTGCGGGCACATCCCCGGTGGGGGTGTGTGCAAGAGGCAGCTGATTGATGTTTCTCTCTCATCAGTGTTTCTGACTGAATGTTTCTCCCTTCCTCTCTGTGAAAAATCAATAAAATATATCTTTAAAAAAGGGGGGGAAAAAGCTTCTAGTCCTTTTCCTTTCATATAAAGATCAAATTCCCCATCTTCTTCCTCCCTTCATCTCTCCTCCTCACTCTTCTCCCTCCCCATCCTTTTCTCTCCCCAACTTCCCTTTTTCCCTTAGCCCGCTGTGTACAGCTACCGCTTCCCTTTCTGCCAGCAGGTGGCACCATGGTCTCATGAGAGCATCGCTGCCCCGCTGTAAGGCCCTGGCATGCCCACCACCTTCACTAAGCCATGGAGGCTGCCCTCCCACTTCCTATTGCAACATTCCTGGTGGAGGTGCTGGGACAGTCCTCAGACCAGGTGCTCAGCTGTGTGACCTTAGTGGGGGCATTTCTCAGACTTGGTTTTAATGTCTAATTGGTATAACAGAATTGTTACAATACTTTAAAAAGAGATTTTTCTCCCCAATCTGGGGCATAAGTGACCTTAGTGTAAAGAGGTCCCTGTGGGGACAGTCCCAGCCAGAGGGGGTATGGCATGGACAAGGTGGGTTTTAAAATTGGTTTTGTCGCCGAAACCGGTTTGGCTCAATGGATAGAGCGTCGACTTGGGGACTGAAGGGACCCGGGTTCCGGTCAAGGGCATGTACCTTGGTTGCGGGCATATCCCCAATAGGGGGTATGCAAGAGGCAGCTGATCGATGACTCTCTCTCATTGATGTTTCTAGCTCTCTATCTCTCTCCCTTCCTCTCTGTACAAAAATCAATAAAATATATATTTTTAAAAAAATTGGTTTTGTTTGTGTAATGAGAGGAGGCAGCTGAAGAGACAAGAGAAGGGAAACTGACAACACAATATTTGTACGGATCATGTTTTAATTGCAATACATATATAGTAAGTCATTTTTTGTTGACAGCACTCCTAGGAGATAGATTCTCTTATCTCCTTTTTATTTTTAATCCTTACCTGAGGATATTTTTCCATTGATTTCCAGAGAAAGTGGAAGGGAGGGGGAGAGACAGAAACATCAATGTGAGAGAGAGACACATCGAGCCTACAAGTACATGCCCTTGACCTGAATCAAATCGGGACCCCTCTGTTTGAGGTCCGACACTCTCCACTGAGCCAAACCAGCCAGGGCTCTTGTCTCCTTTTTAAATGTGGGGAGACAGAGGCACAGAAAGGTTAAGTTCTTGCCATTCTCACTCAGCTTATAGGTGGCAGAGTCAGTATTCATTCAGCCCAGTCAGTCTGGTGCCAGAGTCTATGTCTTGTCTACATTGATGGAATCTTGAAAAAGGCCGGAAGGACTGCCTTCCAGAAAGAGCAGGGAATGAGGCCTTGGTCTGGGTCTTGAGTAAGAACACAGGTTTATGGGGCAGGTGGGTTTATAGGGATAGTAACTAGAAGTTGATGGGGTTTGGGTCGGTTGCTAAGACGGAGGATGGCAAGAATGGAAGCTGGAAGGGCAGGAGGTGTAGGGACTTTGAGAGTGGTGTGGAGTCTCCTAGCTGTCTCCTGAGGGAAAAGAGACAAGGTGGAGGTGTGGAAGGGGCCTGTACAGGTGGAATATGGGGGAAAGGAAGAAAGGGCTAAGATGTAGAGGGAAAGGATCAAGCCCAAAGTTCCACAAGAACTCAGTGCAAGGCCAAGCAGAGCCATTGACATTTCTGTCTCCTACAAGAAGGGAGATAAACCCAGGGTTGGAACCTCTCACATCCCCTGGAGATCTTAGCCATTTCTCTACCTGATTGTCCAGATGGCTTTCTCTTTTGTGTCGGGAAGAACTGGAACCAGGTCACATGAATCTATATCCCCAATGTCCTGCACATGTGAATTTGTCAGTGAACATTGCCTGAATGACTGAATGAGCCCAGAAGAGCAAGAGTTAAATGTCAGGGCTTTGGACCTCGGCCATGATGGATCTGAACCCTGCCTGACCCTGATTGTGTGACTTCACCTGAACCTCAATTTCCTTATACGATCAACCTTTATCATTCACAGACTGCATATTGTGAATTTACCTCTTCATTAAAATTTATTTGTAACCCCAAACCAATATTCCTGGTACTTTTTTTTTTTTTTTAATATATTTTATTGCTTTTACACAGAGAGGAATTGAGAGGGACAGAGAGTTAGAAACATCGATGAGAGAGAAACATCAATCAGCTGCCTCTTGAACCCCCCCCCCCTGGGGTTATGCCCGCAACCAACATGCCTTTGACTGGAATCGAACCCAGGACCTTTCAGTCCTCAGGCCAACGCTCTATCCACTGAGCCAAACCGGTCCTGATATTCATGATACTTTTGATGTTATTCATAGACATGTGTGCAGCTGCAAAAAATTTGAGTTGCCCAACTTGCATGTTCTTAGCTGAGGTTGAACAGGAGAACGCCCTGCTTTCTCGTTTCAGCTATTATAAAGTAATGCAATGTGGTCTTTTTAGTGTCATGTGTTTTTTTTTTGCATCTGGGGGCTTTTTGTTGGTGGTTTTGTTGTTTAAACGGCCCCCAAAGTCATGCTGAAGTGCTATCTGATATTGCTAAGCACAAGAAGGTTGTGCTGTGCCTTCCAAAGGACACATGTGTGTTATATGAACTTCATTCAGGTATGAGTTATAGTGCTATTGGCTATGAGTTCAATGTTAATGAATCAACATAAAATTTTAAATTAGATGTCTACAGAAACATGTAAAACTAGGTGATGTACTTACTGATCAATCAATTGATGAAAATGCTATGACCTGGTAGGAATCTAAGCCTGTATTTCTCCTAGGCGCATTGGTTCAATATTTGCTAATTCAGTGTTCATAGTGGTAGCTTTGTTAGAACATCACTACCATTAATAACAAGAGTCGTGTGTGTGTATGAAATGGGAATGATTACAGAATTTCCTTGTAGGGTTGTTGTAGTATTACGTGAGCTATGTTTGTAAGGTACTTAGTATCATATTTGGCACCTAGTAAGTGCTCAATAAAATTGTTAATATTGCCGAAACCGGTTTGGCTTAGTGGATAGAGCATCAGCCTGCGGACGGAAAGGTCCCAGGTTCGATTCCAGTCAAGGGTCTTGGTTGCAGGCACATCCCCAGTAAGGGTATGCAAGAGGCAGCTGATTGATGATTTTCTCTCATCGACATTTCTAACTCTCTATCCCTCTTCCTTCCCCTCTGTAAAAAATCAATAAAATATATTAAAAAAAGAAAAAAGAAAATCACATATTAAAAAAAAAATTGTTAATATTGTTAATGTGGATGAGTGAGAAAATAAAGAAGGGATTTTCCCCTACTCGGAGTTCCTTTTTCCCCAAGGGGCCGAGCTGAGGTTTTCTGACTCATGGAGAGAACCTGACCTAATGGGAGGGGCCAGGGACCAGGACCTGTAATAAAGAGCCCCACCCACGCTGTATGTCATAAAGACCTGAGCTGCCCTGGCCAGCAGCACCCGTGGGCACACTTACAGAAGCTTTCTGTGCCCATGGGGCCTTCTCAGCTTGTCCGTGCCCCTCGGCCCCAGGGCTTACGTTCCCCTTACCGCAGGCCAGGTATGGGCTGGCCTCGGCCCAGGTTTCCCAAGATGTTCAAGTGTAGCCGCAGAAGGTACCGGCAGAAACCCCAAAGCCCAACTGCCACCACTGCAGCCACCAATCTTGCCACCATGGCCAGAGATATCAACAACACCCACAATGTCACCACCAATGTGTGGATCCTTCCACTGCAAGGTTAGCCAAGGGCCCCGAGCCAGGATTCGGGGTTGGAAAAACAGGGTCCCCCACCTTAGCCCTGAGTAGGCACTCAAGGGGCACATGCTCTGTGAAATATCACCCCAAAGGTATGGAGGGGTCTTGATGGCGGTCTCCCTAAAAGGCAGAGAGCCTTCATGGAAGGCCTCTTGGCTGGAAGTGGAGAGCTTGGGGAAGTGGGTGAATCTAAGAGCAGTGGAGCTTCCAGGACTGCTTGCTGCCTTCCTCACACTCTTCCCTCTTCTTCCTCTCCTCAGTTCTCAGACGCCTCTGTCAACCTGGCAGCTTTCTGATCCTCTAGAAATGCCCAGAAACTAGTCCAGAAGCTTGGCTGGCTCCGGACCTGTATCTTCTGGGGGCCGTGGGTGGTGAATAGCAAGCCAAATACAATCATTTCTGCCTACTCCACGTTGAGGTATTTGCAGCTGACTGCAGGGTGTGAGGGCTGGGACAGGCTTCCGTGACAGCAGCAGGGATCACAGTTAGACAGTGGAAGGACAGGACAAGGTCAGCCACACGCACCAACTCCCCATCTTTGGCTTCAGCTTTTGATATATCCAAAGAGGCAAGGGCCTTCCTGCCTTGCACTCCCATCTGCCCAGGGAATGGGGTCTCCATAGACAACTTGGGACCTACAGGGAGCCAGGTCCTTGGGGAGGAAGATAGAGGCACAGATCAGAAGAGGGTAGGAGGAAAGAGGTTTCACTGCTTGTGTGTAACCCTGTGAATGACTCAGTGCGGTGTATGTGGCTCTGTGCGCCTGGGATGGCCAGTGTGTAGGTGTAGCTGCTGGTGTGTGTGTGTCTGAGAGCGTGTGTGAGAGCAGAACAATGGGAGTATAAGTGGACATGTGACCGAGCCTGCCTTTGCAAGCGAATGTGCCTCTGTGGCCGGCTGTGAGTGGTAAGGTGTGTTTGTGAGGTTATGGGTGAACCAGAGAGAGGATCTGCTCTGCCGAGAGGAATGAAGGTCAAAAGGGGGAGGGGGCAGCCTGAACCAGGAAATGGTTGCTTCGGAGAGGGTGTACCACCTTCAGCCCCTGTCCCTCTCTGAGGTTGGTATTTTCCAGGACAGGAAAACAGCTGAGCCAGGCCTCTGGGGGTGGGGCAAGACAGCTTGAGTCCAGAAAGAGGGAGGGTGCTAAGCGTTCTGGCCTGGGGATTTTCCATTTGGATCTCTGAGTGCGCGCCCGGGTGCCACTGGTGTAACTGGGTTTCTGCGGGATGTGTCTCCATGGCATTGTGTCTCAGTGACGGGAAACGTTGTGAGGGGCCGTGTCTCTCACGTGTCACTCTATGCATGGGCTAGTATGTGTCTCAAGGTCCCCAAATCTGGCTCCAGTTCCTGGGCTCCCGTCCCTGAGGGTTGAAACCTTTGGCCTGGCCCCTGGGGTTCAGGAAGCCCGTGGGGAGGAAATGAATTGTGTCTGTGTCCATCTACTCCAAAGCCTGCCAGAGAATGGGACCCTGAGAGGAGGGGAGGGACAGAGAATTCCCTGACATATCCTGGCCAGACAGTATTGGGTGGGGGGTGAGATTCCTCAGGGTATTGGGTTGGGGGGGGTGCTGAACCTTGATCAGAGCTAAAAGGTGGCTGGGCTAGTACCCAAGGCTTACAAGGGGGCCCGCACATATAAAGACACCTGACACAATCTGTACAGGCATGTAAGTGGACTCACAGATGCACAATGTATCAAATACACATGCTTGCAAGTTCATGCTCATAAACAGAGATATATGCACAGACACTAAGACACAGAGACCTCGTCACATGCAACATGCAACACACCCACATGCCCACAAATGAACACACACACAAGCATGCATGCACTCAAACACAAGGATATAGACACATGCAATCAAACTCATGCTAACCCAGACATACCCACGTGCATGCAGACACACTCACCAGACTTCCCTGCCCCTGCAGCCCTGGGACCCAGAAGCCTCCCTCCCTTGTGTAAGTGTGAGTGTGCGTGTGTGTATGCATGCCCCCACTGTGTCTGTGTGTATCTGTGTCTGTGAGAGTGAGTCTGCATGTGTGTGAGTGAGGGGGTGCTGAGCTGTGGGAACCCGATGACATCATCTCTTCTGGCTATTTTTAGCTCCCGCTGCAATGCTGGCTCCTCCACTGCCCTTCCCCCTGCAGGCTCCCACCTCTCCTCCCCATCCAGTCCAGACTCCAGAGGCAACAGCAGCCAGAGGGCACCCACCACCCTAGTCCAGGTGACCCCATGGATGACTGGGATAAGGCTCTCTCTCCCACTCTGCCAGAGCTCCCCAGAGGCTGAGAATGCTGGGCTCCCAGGCCAGGGGGAGGCTTGGGCTGTGTGGCAGGTTGGAGCAGGGGCCTTGGTTAGGTGAGCTGACCTGGCTGGTCTCCAGCCCCTGGAGTGCCTCTGCTTCTGCTTTTCAATCTGAAACTCTGTCTCAGTCAGTAGTGCCTGCTATGTGCCAGGGGAGGGTGCCAAGTTCTGGAGATAAAGCAGCTGAGCAAGACAGTGGGAGTTCTTCCTGGCGGGAGTCGCAGCTCCATGGGAGACAGACACTAAACAGATCACACAAGGCCCTGCACTAAATTGTGGGGAGGGCGCTGAACCCTGGGAACAGGGGGACTTGGTCCTGGATGTTGGTCTCTGTCTCTTTCGGCCTCCCCGAGAGATCTCCCCAAACCAGAAGGGCATACTATACTCCCTTCCCTTCGACCTTGCACCGTGACGATCAAACCTCCAGAATTCCACAGAGCAGGGCTTCCTTCCCACACCCCAGGCTGTGCCCCCAACAGTGCGTCAACCCACTAAGAGGTGGCCCACTGCTCTTCACACCCCCCTTTTCTTGGGAACCTCCCCACAGTGCATCTGTAGGTGAGAAAACTGAGGCCCCCTAGAGTTAGTCAAAGGCATAGACATGGACTAAAAGGGTGGTTGCAGGGGCTGAGGGGGAGGGGAGAATGGAGGGCTATTATTTAATGGGCACAGAGTTTGGGTTTGGAGTTGGTTGCACAATATACTACTAGTACTTAATGTCACCGAACTGTACATTTAAAACATGGTCAAAATGGTATAACTTATGTCATGTGTATTTCATCGCATACACACACAAACCTGGATTAAAAACAAAACAAAACACGGAGGCACAGAGAGGGCCAGCGCTGGGCCACACCTCTGAGCGCCTGTGAGCAGCGGAGCAGAGATGGAAGGCAAATGGAGGAGGAAGTGGAGGTGGCACAGGTGTGTGGGAAGGACAGGGTGTGGGAGTAGAAGAGGAGGGGGAGGAGGACAGTGGCCTGAGGGGTCCATGCCTTGAGAAGGGTTTCCTGCTCCAGCCAGTCTAGGCAGCTAACGGGGAAAATCGGGTTTGGCAGCTTCAACCAAGCCCTCAGAGCTGGAGGGTGTGTGTGCTGGAGGGTGTGTATGTGTGTTCAGACAGCTCTGGGAAGGTGACGTGGAGGCAGGCCCCTGCTCTGGCCCAGAGTCCAGCCAAACCATCCGGGAAGCAGTATGTAATCTCGGGACTCTTCTTTGGAATTTGGAGGGAACAGTTCAGGACTGGAGGCAGGAATCCTGAATTCCAGTCCTTGTTCTGCCCCAAATCCCAGATGTGATCCTTGGAAAGTCCTGCCTCCTTTCTTGGCCTCCCCGGAAGGAGCCCTGGAAGATCAGGTTTCCCACCCCTGACTCCCGCACTCCGGGTTTTCCTGGAGGTCTGAGTCAAAGGGTAGGGGCTCAAGCAGACTCACCCCAAGGCGCCAGGCTGGAGGTCACTTGTCACCAATCAGTCAATGGCCGGAAGCCCAGCTCTAGTCCCACAATGCAATACCGGTCACCCCACCCTTACCAGTGCCCTCACCCAAACCGCCACTTCCGGCCTCTGTTCCTTCCTTGCCTTCAGGGAAAGCTGCAAAGCTCCCAAGGGAATCTTCCATATCTCCTCCACTGGCTCCCTGCCCAGGGCTTAATCCTATCTCCCCCTCAGGCCAGACGCTCAGTGAACTTTCTTTGGAGCAGGGACTGGCCAGGAAGGAAAGGCAGTTGGGTGGAAGGGCCTCAAAGGTGGAAGGGCCTCAAAGGAGCCTGCTTTTCCTGCTACCCTCAGATACTGGAGTCCTAATGAGGGGCTAGTGGGGATGGACTGAGTGCTGGGGCCTCGGACTGGGCATTTCCTACTGATGGATATCCATGGGAGTGCTACCCATCACCTTTTCAGCCATCTCCTTTCCTTGCTCTCAGTGAATTCAGAGAAGTGAGCCCAGAGCTAAGACTTGTCTCTCTTGGAAAGTGTTATGCCCAGATTTGTGATCCCCAAGGACCACCAGGGAGCCTAGTCGGATCCAAGTACAGAAAGCCTGAATTCCATGCTCTCATGGGCTTTGTCCCACTCACACCAACAGCCAGCAGTGGCGGAAAAGAGGATGGGCTTCAACAGGTCAAGGGGTTTTATAGGGTGGTGATGTCACTGCTTTAGCTGACCCTGATTGGTTGGGTGAGGGCTTGGGTCTAGTTACACAAAATGGAGGATAGCTCCGCCCTGCCCCACAGTACAACATGGAATCAGGAGTTAGCCTCGCCCGCCCTGCCCTTTCAAAAGCAATCACAAAACCCCCAGCCAAGTGGGTTCTGGCTATTGTTGCTATGTCAATGACAAGTTTATGAAACACAAAGATCATAAATTCTAGATGCATAGAATCTAGTCATGGAATCTTAGCATCACAGAATTCTAGCACTGAGAATCTCAGGTACAGGATCTTAGAAATATACAATAGTCTGACATCACCGAGTCCTAGAGTCCTGAGTCCAATTAGTGAAGCCTTTATCTTTAGGTGGATGTCTAACCCAGAGGGTTCCCATTGGTGCTGGGCAAAGGAGTTCATACCTGAACACTGAGGAGGAGGCAGAGAGCCAGGACACATGAGCTTTGGATGAGGTAACATCTGTAATTAACCAGAGAGAAGACAATCTCCTCCATGAAGACTCAGTCCTGCTTCCTGAGGATGAGGGGAGTTGGGTGGCAAATGGGGATAGAGAGAGGGGAACTATAGAAACAAAGAAAACAATCTAAAGAAGAAAACAAGTAGCATCATACGCTGGCCTGATGCCTCCAGCTTGCCTGTGATTGGGGTTAACATTGGCCAAGGACATTTCGAAGTAAAACTCCTTATCACATGAAAATGACAACCCCTGTCTTTTTTTTTTTTTTTTTTTTTTTTTTAAGAAAAAGGTCCTCATACCACACTTTTCTTGGGGTTGCTGTGAGGATCAGACTCTCTCCAAAGAGGATGCTGAGCCTTGAGCAACATGGTATG